TGCACACCATCTCTCCTTACTCCCCTGAGGTGATGATCATGATGGTAAATTGTAAATTGCCAGTAACATGACAGACTGTTGCATAGCCAGCACTGTCACCACCTGCCTAATGAACAGACAGGATTCAACAGAACCTTGGCATGACACTGAGCTCTGCAGCAGGAACACAAGGAAGTGTGCCAAGCATTTGTTTTGAGGTGTGCTCCCTAAACTACTGAACGCTCGAAGAGAGAAAAAAAACTTGGTCAAGAAATTTACTGCCCCGGTGAAGAGTGTTTCTATGTTATGAGCAGCCACTTATCACTAGTGAAGAAAGCATGGTTACTTAAAACCACTCACACACACATACAATAGTATGTTTTGGTTAACTTTAACAACATGGAGGGCTAAAATGTGCATCTTCGCAGCAACATGAATTCAAGATTCTAACTGCAAGACATAGATAGATAGATAAGATAGGATAGATAGATAGGGGGCAACTGTGGTTCAGTGGGTAGAGCAGTCGCCTCCCTAGCGGAGGGTCAGAGGTTTGAATCTCTGTGCCTGCAGTCCACATGTCAAAGTGTCCTTGGGCAAGACACCAAACCCCCAAGCTGCCCCTAATGGTTAGAACCATTGCCGCAGATGGCTGCCTCGGGTCTGTAACGGAAACAACTTCCTTGTGTGTGTAATATACTTGGCCAATAAAGGTGATTGTCCTTTAGATAGATGTCGTCTTTTTTTTTATTCTTTTTTTTTTTTGAGAGAGAGAGAGAGAATTGGACAAATAAAAGCAAAAGCTCGGGTTATCATTGGTTTGGCTTTTTGAAATGACAGCCAATGGATGCAAATGTGATTCAGATGTGCATTCTTTCCTTTGGGATATGGTAACATCTAAAGCTAATGTTATTTGTTTTGGTAACATTAGCAACCTATCATCGTCCTGACTTTACTTTTGTATTGAATTAATATGAGTTTCATTTCAGAGTAATTTGAGTTTTGTATAGCGTTAGTGCTTTATGTCACATTAGCAGAAAAAGACTGCTTTGCTGGATTGCTAACGCTAGCTTCACACTGGAGTCAGATTTTTGTACAATTTGTTGCAGCCAGGCACTTGTGGTATATGTCATCACTAGGAAACAGGACGGGTGGGGCAAAGAGCAGTTACAGTAGGAGCAAAGTGTTGTCAGTTTGTTTTGATTTCCACTAGATCCTCTAGTGGCTGGAAAGAAATTAGGTAGAGTAGCTTGAAATGATTTTTTCCTATGTAGTACATTAATTAATAGCCTATTTTGTTTTTTCCAAGTATAAACAAGCAGGTGGTAAAGCTGGAACTTTACATATGTATGGTGTTAGTGACATACTGACATCATTTGTAAATAAACCTCCCCTCTGCCTTGATTTCTTGTGCCTCCTTAATTTATAGTATTGTTTCTGTAATCAGCCCTGCTAGAGAGAAGGAGGTGGCAGAGCAATAGAATGGGAAGAGGGGAGGGAAGGAAGGGCGAATCTCTTTCTACTTTCCGCCTCGGTGTTTGAAGTCTAAAATCTTTTGCAGGGTTTTAAACATCTGTTTCCAAACTGCCAGCAGTCACTAATTAGGGCTAAAAACAAGACGGGACATCGTGAGAACCCTGGGGTGGGCATGAGGCGACATGCACACCCTGCTAAAAAACCACTGCATTCCTCTGCCTAAAGACTACTTCTCTGAAAGGGGGAGTCAAGCAAGGGGGCGGAGGGGCGGAGGGAGGTGAACCAGTGCTAGTAATGGGCCAGTGGGTGGAAGGAGACAAGAGAAAGGTAGGCATTATTTTGAGGCCCCACCTGTCAGTGTTTCTGATTGTAGAGGCCATGTGTATGTGCATGTAGGTGTGTGTGTGCATGTGTTTGTGTACGTGTAGGTGTTACAAAGTCTTAGGTTTTGTTGTGGCTTCCTGTGCCATTTGAAGTCATCATGCTGTGTGATATTTTACAGTGAAACAGCTCTGCAGTAACTGATACTGAGTTTTCTCTCTTCTTCTTCCTTTTCTCTGTCTTTCATTGCCATCTCTCTCTCTCTCATTGCTCTGTGTATCACATTCATTCAAGCAGTATTTTCAACCCTATGGAACGTTATAGCTACTCACGGTAACCACCTCTCAGCAGCTCTGTGCCAAATCTGATTTGGTATTATACTCAGTGCTCACATACTGTAACCCACTGATTTCATGCCTAAATCCCATGAAAGACATCTATTAACCTCATTTTATAATTTCAACAATACAGTAAGTGAGTTTGACTTCACCCTTCACCCCTATAAACTGAGTATTAAAGACATTTTCCCCTGTGCATAAGTGACATATAACCAGATCTATCATATAAGCAAGCAGACAAAAGATTTCAGCCTTGAACCCTACCAAGGTCATCAGGAGTCATCAGGCTTGTGTCAACATACAAAGGGCTAAAGGTCAGGGGCACTGGGTGTCATTTGGTCCCTGCTGGTCCTAAACAGACTCTTTGCCAAAAATGAGGCAGAGCCTCTTTGATGTTGACTTAGAGTCAGAGTTTCTCCAGTTTGATGGATGTTCACTTGGCTGGAATCTGCAGCCTGGCACACTGAAAGCAAAGATTATTCACGTGGTATGAGAGCCAAAATCAAACTGTACATTAAAAAGTTTTCTCTGAGGGACTGTTGTTAAAGATTAAAGGCTGTGATTAAATATTGTGATTCTGAAATTTTTCCTCCAGGGCACTTCACCTGCCAAATGCTGGAATGGGCCTGGTTTGTTTCTAATGAATACACTTTTATAAAGTTAGTATATAATACTGTTTAACTTTGCAATTAATTTGTCTGTGCTTCTGAAAGCTGACCTCCCACAACACTGTAACTAACTTGTTTAGTAGGTTTTTGTTTCCAGTCACATCTACAAGTAAGTTGGTTTAAATATCTTCCTCGTCTCGACAAATTTATACCACATCATCTCATTATCCACTGTATTTGTTTCTCACACTGCTAAACAGACTGGTGGGCAAAACAAAAAAGAAATACCTCAGGAGGTGTAGTAGACAGTATAAAGACAAGATACATGAGGCTAGTTTGTGATTATGCATGTTACTGAGTTTCATAATCGCACCTTTAACATCCAAAAAAAAAAGAAGGACCCTAAAGACAAAGTATTCTCTTTTCTTGACTCATAAACTTGTTGCTACTGATTTTATATCAGCCCCTGCTGAAAATTTGCTCCCATGTCTAAAGTACACATTGGGATTTATGTCACCAGTTCTACATCTACAACTGCTTCTGCCATTAGAGCTGCTGCAGGAAGGCCAGCTGTTGTTGAGCTTGTCTGACGCGCTCCGCGTGTGTTTTGTCTTCATAATCAAGGAAACCAGAAGTAAACTGATGGAATGATACAGGTCTAACTTACTCAAAAGGAAAAAGGGAACAATGAGCAATTTACAATTTGCTTCTTGCTTCTGTTCCACTTGACATTGTCATTTACATCTTTCTTTTACATTAACTAGAAGGGCAATTCTATATTTTACCCTGGTATGAATATGTAAAATTAATACCCTACAGTGGAACTATAACATAAAACACTGAGGTGTTATGTTTGCTATGCCAGGATTACTACACACACACACATATATAAATATATATATATATATGCCCAGTATGTACCACCGTCAAATAGTAGAAGCGGCTGATATCGAAAAATCCTACCAGTGGCTGGACAAAGCTGGACTGAAAGACAGCACAGAGGCACTAATCATGGCAGCACAGAAACAAGCTCTAAGTACAAAATCAATAGAGGCCAGGGTCTACCATACCAGACAGGACCCCAGGTGCAGGCTGTGCAAAG